CAGCTAATTTTTTTAAGTAGTGATGAGGTCTTGCTCTGTTGCCCGGGCTGGTCTTGAAATCCTGGGCTCAAGCTATCCTCCCACCTCAGCCTCCCAAAATGCTGGGATTATAGACATGAGTGAGTCACTGTGCCTGGCCCTATCTGTGGCTTTCTAAAGGAGCAGCTTAGCATATGGTTGGGAGTGTGAGCTTTGGAATCCCAATTGTGTCACTAGCCAGGTGATCTTGGGCAAAGTCACTATCTCTGTGAGACTCAGTATGTTCCTGTAGACTGGATAATGTAACTATTTATTTTAAAGGGTTGTTAGGAAGATTAAATGGGTCCATTTGAGTAAAGCAGTTAGAATAGTGCCTGATACATAGTAAATCCTCAATAAATGTTAGCTAACAACACTATGTCTAAACCATATAAATTATAAATTCCTCAAAAGAAGGAGCCTTACATTATTTGTAGCTGTGCTAACATGTACAGACCACTCAAGATTTTTCTAGTTGCTTGGCTCAGCAGTATTAATATATTAGCAGATGTAGCATTGTCTTGCTTGCTGGTTTTTCCATCTGCTCTAAATTTAGTACTAAATAAAGCCAGTTGTAGGGGTGGAGGAGGTTTTAAAGATCTCTGGTCCAAATCCATTAGGTTTTTTGTTTTCTTTGAAAGCTGTCATCCAGAGAGAGTTTGGAAGCATATGCTAAAGACGATTTTTAGGCATGTTTTGCAGAAATTTATAGCATCTATTTACATTATTATGTGTTTCCATACTTTGAACTGTCAACCCTTTGCATATAGTAGTATCCTAACTGATGTTCCAAATTTGCTACTATGCTATACGTGGGCTTGCATAATTCCTAACTCATAACATATGGATATTAAATAAATTAGGTTATGAGAAGCAATTCACTTTTTTCCATCTTGGTAAGCAGAATAGTCACAATCCAATAAAGATAAATAAAGATGTCTAGGACTAAGGCATCATAATTACACCTTGTATTTGTATAGTGCATAATAATACCTTACATTTGTATACCTTATTTAATTCTTACAACCACTCAGTGAGGTAAGCAGGCATGGAAGTATCATGAATTCCATTTTACAGATGAAGATATTAGAACCTAGAGGTTTTAACTGACTTGCCTAAGTTTACTACATGGTAACAAATGGCAGAGCCAAGATCAACTTGGGTTTGTTGACTGGTAGCCCAATGCCCTTTTTACTTTACTGGTAGAGGAAAGTGTTAGGAATTCTCATTTTCTTCCACTGATATTTACAGCCTGACTCTACAAAGAACCTTGCCAATAGTGGTCTGTTGTGAGCCTTCGGCAAGGTATGGGTCTCGGATGCTTAATCCCAATTTGTAAATGTTATAGAACCATCCCCCTGGCAAGGAGGATTTATATCAGGCAAATTTTGCAGATAACAGTATTTAGCTGCATGTGCTAGAGCTGACAAACTTTGGAATCAAAAGAAGAGTCATCAGTGAAGTAACTCAAATAATGGGAGAGAATCTTCCAGTCAACACTCAATCTCCTTGGTCCTTAAATTTCAAGCTAAAGATGCCTATAAAACTCCATATAATATAATCACAGAAGATATTTTGTAGGTAGTACTTTGCACAAAAGCAATCATAGGAGTTTTACAGTTTGTTTTTATTGGAAGAGAGCCACCACTCCAGAATTTCTTGTCATTGAATAGATGGGAGGGAGCGGGAGTTAGAAACAGAAAAGAGAATCAGCCTGAATGTACAGATGCTAGGGACCATGTGGTTGGGGCAGAAAATGTTTATGCTGTGAGGAATTGGTATGAGTGGTAGAGACAGAGTGACTAAAATTTCTACACAATTACTATATAAATTCTTTTTTTAGTATGTAAATTCTGATCAGACTAGTGTAAACTGGCACACACAAATATGAAGCAGTTAATGTTGGACATAGAAATGGCAGAAAAGCCAGACAATGTAAAAAATTTATTCCCCTCCCACTCCAGATAACACCCCATTGTGAGAGTTAGGAGCCCATATATTTCAAGAGACTGAAAACCAATTCAATGAGCTTGAAAAATAATAAGATGTATTGATTCTCATAGGTCAAAAAAACAGGGATGGTACCAGCATCAAATGCAATTGTCTCAAAGGATCATAGGGTTTTCCCTCTCTCTCCTTCTGGCTTTCTACTCTGCCTTCTTGTTTATTATTTTCTTTCCTACTGCAAATGAGCTTCCTTGATGTAGTCAGAGAAGCTGGCTGCCAGCAGTGGCAGGCCGATATTCCATGCTAGGGTACCACTGTTAAACGAAATCCCAGCACAAAGAAAGAACACTTTTCTCTGATGGCTTCCATGTATAATGTCTTAGAGAAAGATTGTGATTGGTCAGTGTGGACCACATGTCTGCCTGTGAACCAGTCTCAAGCTCTTGAGCAATGGAGTGCTAGGACTGGCCAATCCTTGGTTATGTCTTCACACTTGTAGCCAAAGCAGATGGAGTCCATCACCAGAAAAGTGGTAAAGAATTCAGCTGAGCTATCCCAGTTAATTACAGCAACAGTTCCCAAATTGACCTGAAGATAAACATCCCCTGGACCCTTGTTAAAAAACAGATTCTTTGGTTCCCAGCTTAGACCTCCATAATCAGAATTTATATAGGAGAAGGATGGTAATTTGTATATTTAGCAAGTACCCCAGGTGTATTAGTTTCCTATTGCCACTGTAACAAATTAACACAAATTTAGTGGCTTAAAACAACATGGATTTATTATCGTCTGGAGGTCAGAAACCCAAAATCGGTTTCACTGGGCTAAAGTTCAAGGTGTTGACAGGTTTCTTCTGGAGGCTCTGAGGGGAGAATCCATGTCTTTGCCTTTTTCAGCTTCTGGTGGCTGCCTGTGTGTCCCGTTCCACCATCTTGGAAGAGCATCACTCCAGTTACTGCTTCTATAATCACATCACCTTCTCCTCAAACTCTGACTCCTTCTGTGCCCCTTTTACAAGGACCATTGGACATGGGTCCACTTGGATAATCCAGCATAATCTCCAAGTTCAAGATCCTAACTCAGTCACATCTGCAAACTCCCTTTTGCCATATGCTATATGGTTTGGAAGTGTCCCTCAAATTTTGTGTGTTGAAAACTAAATCCCCAAATTCATATCTTGATGCTATTTGGAGGCAGAGATTTGGGGAGATAATTAGTATTAGATGAGGTCATCAGGATGGGGCTCCTATGATGGGACTGGTGGCTTTATAAGAAGAGGAGGAGAGACTTGAGCTTGCATGTCTGTGGTCGTTTGCCATATGATGCCCTTCACCATGAAAACCCTCACCAGAAGTTGAGCAGATGCTGGTGCCATGCTCTTGGACTTTCTAGACTCCAGAAGTGTGAGAAATAAATTTCTTTTATTTATAAATTACCCAGCCTTAGGTATTCTGTTATAGCAACAGAAAACAGTCAAAAACACTATTCATGAAAACCCTCACCAGAAGCTGAGCAGATGCTGGTGCCATGCTCTTGGACTTTCCAGACTCCAGAAGTGTGAGAAATAAATTTCTTTTATTTATAAATTACACAGCCTTAGATATTCTGTTATAGCAACAGAAAACAGTCAAAAACACTATTCAAGGTAACATTCACATGTTCCAAGGTTTAGGACATGGACATAGTGAGCCACTATTCAGCCTACCACACCAGGTAATTATTATCAGGTAAATCTGAGAAATACTGATAAAGGAGTTAAAAAGAAATTACTTACACAGGTTGTGAAGGTAAGGACGTCCTTGGTAAGGTTCTCCTTTTAATGAAAAGCAGCCCCCAAATCATTTTCTTTTCTAACAAAGAGCAGCCTGTAAAATCAAGCTGCAGGCATAGACAAGCAAGCTGGAAGCTTGCACGGGTGAATGCCGGCAGTTGTGCCCATAGGAAAAGGCTACCTGGGACTAGGCATGATTAAAATGGCAGCTCCATGTTTCCTTCTCTTTGCTAGCCATGTGTACAGTAAGGAGCAGACAAGACGGCACTGGCCAAGTGGAAATCCATTTGCATAAGAAGATTAGGGTGGGGCAACCAGCCATCTCCGTGTGCTATGTAAACATCACACCTGGTCAAACCAATCTGTGGGCCCTTCATAAATCAGACACCACCTCCTTAAGCCTGCCTATAAAATCTGCTGCAGTTTGCAGCAGGCCAGCTTTTCCCTTCAGACAATGCCTCTCTCTCTCTCTTTCTCTCTCATAAAAGAGAGCTGCTCTCCTTTCTCTTTCTTTTGCCTATTAAACCTTTGCTTCCAAACTCACTACTTGTGTGTCGGTGTCCTTAATCTTCTTAGCACGAGACAATGAACCCCAGGTGTTTACCCCAGACAATGATACCGCTTCAGCACCATAGGAATGGTTAACACAACAAGTGCAACATAAATATTCCAAACATAAAAATTCCCTATATAAGCCTAACTAATCACTTAACTGTATATAATATATAGATGCGCCAATTGGGTGGCCCAACCACCATGTTTTTGAATGTGTCAGTAACTCATTTCATTTTTATTGTTTAGTGTTCCATTGCTATGGTTTTGAACATCCCCCCAAAACTCATGTTGAAATTTAATTGTCATTGTGATAGCATTAAGAGGTAAGGTTATGATGAAGCACAAAGGCCCTCACCAGATGCTGCTGCTATACTCTTAGTCTCCCCAGCATGCAGAACTATGAACCAAATAAATTTCTATTGTTTATAAAGTGCCCAGTCTCAGGTATTCTGTTTTAGCAACAAGATAGAGCCAGGATTTGAATGCTTGTCCATTTAACTTCAAAGCCCATCCATTATCTTAGCCTCTATGCTACTGTCTCATAATGAAGTGGAATGTATACACACAAGACTACAAAATCAAGTGCCAGTGGACTGGCTTGAGGTTGTTTGGATGAGATCAGCAGAGGAGATGGAGTCATCAGTAGGAGGGGAGTTGGCCTCATGCATGAGTGAGATTTGTAAAGATGGAGGCAGGAGGGAGGGCAAACCTTGGGCCTGGACCTGCGATTGTCCACCGTGGCTTTGTCCTTGGCTGAAGAAGCCAGTTCCCACCTTCTCCTGGGAGAGCAGTGAGGATGGAGGGCCAGCTGTAGAGTCAGGACTGTGTAAGCCGCATTCCTGGGCCTTTGTGTCATACCTACCAACAAAGGACACTTTCTGAAGAGCTTTTGTGGACTGTGGTTAGGCCTGCAGTCAGGACCCGCATTCTAACTAAAAAGTGTAGCCTCCGGCAAGTTCAGAGCCACTTTGCAGCTCCCTGGCAATGGGGATTATCTGTGTACTGGGGAAGGCAGCTGGGCCCAGAGGGGCTTTTGAACCACAGCATTTTTCTTAAACATGAGGGATGTTATTTTTGAACCAGGTAGGAGGTGACCCGGGAACCAGCCTCCCTGAAGAGGAGGGAGGGAAACACCTATGGCCAGGGTTATGTGGTGCTCTTATTTCCTTCCTGATTAAAGATGTAGATGCGTTGGTACTTGAGCCCCGGAGGAGGCTCCTTCAACCTGAGAAAGCACTGTGCCCCAGCTCATCCTGGGAGCTGGCACAGAGGGAAGGAAGGGGGTGGCAGTTCAAGGGCAGCAGCTGGGAGAAGCGTGTCAGAAGTGCCAGGGAAGCGAAAGTTGCCTAGGGAAAGGAAAGGGGAAGAAGGAAAAGCAGAGAGGCAGCAGCAGCTCTGGGAGAAAGGGACAACAGACCCTTAAGAAGGGCAAGTGTTCTGGAAGCCTCAGAGCAGTGATGGATTTTCCATCTTGGAATCCCCTCCCTTCTCTGTCCCTTACACACAGCTTGTCCTGAGGAGCAGACATGTGGTCTGTGCTCACCCAAGAACTCACAGTCTCCTTCTCTCTTCAATACCCATTTGCTGGGCCTAATTCTTACCTCAAAAAGGTAACTCTTGATTATTCTTAAAAGTTTAAAAAAAAATAATAACTGTGATTTTGGTCTAAGCTAAAGTTAATCATTTTTCCTCAAGGTTGTCTCCCAAGAAAAATGCTTAAAGAGGCCGGGCGCAGTGGCTCATGCCTGTAATCCCAGCACTTTGGGAGGCCGAGGTGGGCGGATCACCTGAGGTCAGGAGTTCAAGACCAGCCTGGCCAACATGGTGAAACCCCCATCTCTACTAAAAAATACAAAAATTATCTGGGTGTGGTAGTGAGTACCTGTAATCCCAGGTACTCAAGAGGCTGAGGCAGGAGAACTGTTTGAACCTGGGAGGCGGAGGTTGCAGTGAGCCAAGATCGTGCCATTGCACTCCAGCCTGAGTGACAGAGTGAGACTCTCTCTCAAAAATAAATAAATAAATAAGAAAAATGTTTAAAGAATATGAAAATAATTTGGTGTTGTTTAGGTAGATTGTTTTCCTCCTCAGAGTTGAAAGCTAAAAAAAGTAACACAGATATTCACTAGATTTTATCACTGAAATGACACCATAGCACTGTTGCCCAGGCTGGAGTGCAGTGGTGCAATCTCAGCTCAGTGCAACCTCTGCCTCCCTGGCGCAAGTGATTCTCCTGCCTCTGCCTTCTGAGCAGCTGGGATTATAGGCACATACCACCATGCCTGGCTAATTTTTGTATTTTAGCAGAGATGGGGTTTTGCCATGTTGACCAGGCTAGTCTCAAACTCTTGACTTCAAATGGTCTGCCTCGGCCTCCCAAAGTGCTGGGATTACAGGCGTGAGCCACTGTGCTTGGCAGGTTTTTTGTTTTTGATGAACTTGTCATTTCCAGCACTCCCTGCTTGCGATGTTCTCTCTTGTACCTGTGACACTGAGGGAAACTGTTAGATGCCAAATTCACCTGAGGGACTAAAATCTGTCTAGATGTAAGTCTGATCTGGCGTCTACTGGGGGAAGGGAAAGACTGAGTAAACTCTGTTTTAGTTCATATCCATTGCCATTCAATTCTGAATTCTAAGATATGGCACCCAGTAGGGTCACTCCACATGTTTATTCAATGGAAGTGATGTCTGAAAATTCAACTTTTATCAAAAAGCATTTTAGGTGGGTAGAATCATGACTGTGAACTGTCTCCTAAATAATTTAGTGTTCCATTATTCCCCTTCCCAATACATTTTGGATTTTAGGCCCTACATAGGTCTAGACCCTGGAGTCTAGGACTCTGCCTCTGGAACCAGCAGTATTGGCCTCACTTGAGAGCTTATTAAAAATGGAGAGTCTCCAGCCCACCCTCAGATCCAAGGAATCAGGATGGACTTTTTAACATGCTCCCCAAGTGATCTGTGTGCATGTTGAAGTAGGAGAAACGCTGCTCTGAGCATCTGATCAGGAGGCCCTCCCAGCCCTGGCTTCAGGGTAGAGCTATCTGGGTTGCAGGGTAGCACCATGCCACACATTGTGGGCAGAGTTCAAATTCCAGCTCTGCTGTGAACTTCATCACAGGGACAAGTGACCTAAAATTAAAAAAAAAAAAAAAAAAATCAAACTCACAGAAAAGTCGCAAGAATAGTACAAAGAACTTCTGTAAATACTTTACCTAGATTCACCAACTATTAACATTTTGCAATGTACACTTTATCTTTTTTTTCTTTCTACCTATGTATGATGATTATTCCTGAATTATTAGAGAGTTAATTGTATATACTGGCATGTCTTTACCCTCAAGACTTCAGTGTGTAGCTCCGATAACAAGGACATTTCCCTACACGACAACACCAGGGCTAGAACTAGAGGGAGGCTAACAAGGCCTGAGCCTGGGTGGCCCTTCAAGAAGGCTTCCTTCAACTTTGTACCCTAGGAACCTCTGTTGTCTCACCCTAGTTCTGGCCTGCATGCTACAGGTATCAAAATCAGGAAACCTAACGCTGACTCAATACTATTATCTAATCTACAGTCTATTATATTTAATCTATAATCTATTATATATCTATAGTCTAATCTTTAAGCTATTTTCCAATCATGTCTATTGTCCCAATAAGGTCCTTTGTAGCAAAAATTTTCCCCAGATTCAATTCAGGATCATGCATGACATTTAATTATCCTGTGTATTTAGTCTCCTTTAATCTGGAACAGTTCCTCAGGCTTTGTCTTTTATGATATTGATATTTTTGAAAATTATAGACTAGTTATGTTATAGAATGTCCCTCAATATGGGAAGAAGTTACTTTTTAATCTCTTAATGGTTCGGTTTCATCACTATTAAATTGGGAATAGTCCCTCCTTGTTGTTGAATCAAATAGATGAAGACACGTAATGGGCTTGACACATGGCAGGTGCAGGTGGATTAAACAAGAAGCTGCCACTGATAGGGCACTTGTCAGCACCATGCCAAGTGCTTCACACGCATTGTCTCATTTTGTTTTTACTGCAGCTCTGTGAGATGGGCTGTATTTTTACCCCTACTTCACAGAAGAAGAATCTGAGACTTAGAATCATTTGTCCAAGGTCTCATAGCTAGTAAGGAGTGACATGGGGACTTGAATCAAGTCAGTGAGACTGCAAAGATTATTCACTTGTAACATGCTTGTGGTGCTTGCTAAAATCTAGCTTTTTAAGCATAAAATTTTCCTAAAGTTCACCATTTTAACCATTTCAAAGTGTATAATTCAGTGTCTCTCAGTATATTTAAAATGTTGTACAACTCTCAGCACTATCCAATTCCAGAACATTTCCATCGCCTCATGAAGAAACCCTATACCTCCCAATTCCCCTGATAACCACTAATCTGTTAATCTACCTCTGTTTCTGTGGATCTGCAGATACATAAAATGAAATACTACTAAGCAATAAAAAGGAACTAACTACTGATACACAGTAACATTCTGGATCTCAAAAACACACTGAGTGAATGAACCCAAATACAAAAGACTGCATATGGAAATATTCCATTTATGTGAAATTCTAGAAAAAACAAAGCCTTAGGAACAGACAGCATGGCAGTGGTTGCCTGGGGACAGGAACGTATGGTTGGGAGGTGGCACTGACTGCAAAGGGGCATAAGGGAACTTTTTGGAGGGACAGAGGTGTTCTAATATTTGATTGGTAGTGGTGGTTGCACATTGGATATATTTGCCCAAATGCATCAAATTGTCCACTGTGTCAAGTTTATAATATGTAAATTATACCTCAATAAGATTATAAAAAAAGAAGAAAAAAATCTAAGCATATCTGATCCTGAATGGAGTTCAATTCATCAGCACAGCGTCCTTTATTGCCTGGCCCCAGATCCATCTTCCCAGCCTCATCTCTCACTTCTCTGACACTTGCCATGGGCAAGCCCAGTGTTGGGCACTCAGAGAATGTGGGGGAAGGAGAACCTCTATCTTCAGGGAACTCACAGCCTAGTCTGGGAGCAGAAAGAAAGGGCAGCCAACTCTGACATAGCAGGGCACCCTTCCTAGAGGACCACTGAATCCTAAGGACAGGAACAAAGATATTCCAGACACAGCTTGGATTCCAGTCATTTTGAATCTCAAGTTTGAATCAAGTTTCAACCTAATATTTTGAATAGGTAATACATTTCTATGGCTGTATACTTTAAGCCAAAGAGATGACAGAGTTTATTTTAGTGCTTTTAGGAATGTGGGAATCACTTGTAATGTTTAGGTTAATCGATGTTAAGTAATTTTCGGGAGTAACTGGAATTATTTTAAAAATCACTGGGTTAAACTGGGTGCAGTGGTGCGTGCCTGTAGTCCCCAGCTACTCAGGAGGCTGAGGCAGGAGGATCACTTGAACATAGGAGTTTGAGTCTAGCCAAGGCAACACAGCAAGACCCCATCTCTAAAAAACAAAACAAAACCAAACCCAAAACATTGGGTTGACACTAAAATATCATGATGCTAACCTGTGCCAGGAGGTCCTTTGCTTGAGGGAGGAGCACTGTCTCCATCCCTAGGATGAAAAGATTAAACTTCTATATTCTCTTCACCCTTAGAAAGCTCCTATTCATAAGAGGTGAAACCATTAAATAAAACAAAAGGAATATAAACCTTTCAAGCCTTTGCCTGCCCCATCAGAGATCTATGTGGAACTGGCAGTAGCTTGACTCCCTTTGAGTGCTTTGGAACTATGGTCTTCAAGATTTCTCGCTTGCTTTTCTCCTATAAGAAATTTGAGGCCGGGCGCGGTGGCTCAAGCCTGTAATCCCAGCACTTTGGGAGGCCGAGGCGGGTGGATCACGAGGTCAGGAGATCGGGACATCCTGGCTAACATGGTGAAACCCGTCTTACTAAAAATACAAAAACTAGCCGGGCGTGGTGGCGGGCGCCTGTTCCAGCTACTCGGAGGCTGGAGAGGAGAATGGCGTGAACCTGGGAGGCGGAGCTTGCAGTGAGCCGAGATCGCGCCACTGCACTCCAGCCTGGGTGACACAGCGCGAGACTCCGTCTCAAAAAAAAAAAAAAAAAAAAAAAAGAAATTTGAAAAACTGTGTTTTGTTCTTTCTTCCTTCTTTTCTTTCTTTTTCTTTCTTTCTCTTCCTTCCTTCTTCTTCTTTTTTTTTTTTAAATAAGAGATTGCGGGTCTCATTCTGTCACTTACGCTGGAGTGTAGTGGCATGATCACAGCCCACTGCAGCCTCAAACTCCTGGGCTCAAGCAATCCTCTCGCCTCAGCCTCCTGAGTAGCTGGGATTACAGGCATGAGCCATCATGCTTGGCTAAAACTGTTTCTTCTTGTACTTTTAAAGGTCATATCTAAAATGTTTCATCACAAGTTTAAAGTATTATTTAATTTAAATTATAAATTATTATTTAACAAACCTATTATTTAATAAGGTTTGTTATTTCTGGCTTAAGTATTGGCATTTTAAAATAAGATTGCTACATCATTCTTTAAATGTATCCAAGGAAATTTAAAGATCATAATGCATCTATCATCCATTTAAAAAATACATGAACAAGCTTTTCTTTAAAGTAAATTTTACATCAGTCTTTATTTTTCTTATCTTGTACTTCCATTCCACTTACCCCTGAACATTTTAATATAATATTTTAAGCTGGAGAGTCTTTTATTGATCAACCTACCGCATTTCACTACAATTTTTTTTTTTTAAAGAAAATTCTTGACTGACTCTGATAAGCTTAAAAAGCTCATTTTGATTGCATAATTTTAATACCTAATTGATCTAAATGACACAAAATATTACATATTTTGGTATCTATCAAAATTAAAGGATATTTTTGCTGAATGAAATAGAATTGGGTCAAACCTAGTCCTAGTTTTCACTTCTATGGATAGAAACACAAAATACCTTGTTCATTCATTCAACAAATATTTATTGAGCATCTCCTACGTGTCAATAGCTACTTTAGGCACTTGTGATACACTGGTAAATACTACAGATAAATCCTTGCCCTCATGGAGCTTACATTCTAGTCGGGGGTAATAGGCAATAAACAATAAACACAACACATGAGTAAATCATATAGTATGTCAGAAGTGCTATAGCAAAAGAGAAAGCAGGGTAAAGGGGCTTTAGGTGTACTGTGAAAGTTAAGAATGGGTTGTGATTTTTAAAAGGTCAGGGTAGGCTTCAATGAGGTAACTTTCGACCAAAGGAGGTGAGAGAGTTGGCAATGCAGATATCAGGGGGAAACATGTACAAGGCAGAGGGCACAGCCAGTGCAGAGGCCCTAACTTGGGAGCATGGCTGACATCTTCTAGGGACTAGAAAAGACATCGGGAAGGCTAGAACATATTGGAGAATGACTGATAGGAGATGAGATTAGAGAAGTAATGCTCAGGGGTGGAGTGGTGGTACTGATCTTATAGAACCCTTTAGACTATTGTAAGGATGTAGATTTTTACTCTAAACGAAATGAGGATCATTTAATGTAGGGATTTAAGCAGAGAGAAGATATCTGACTTATTTATTTTTTTGAGATGGAGTCTCGCTCTGTCGCCCAGGCTGGAGTGCAGTGGCGCAATCTCCACTCACTGCAAGCTCCACCTCCCAGGTTCATGCCATTCTCCTGCCTCAGCCTCCCAAGTAGCTGGGACTACAGGCGCCCACCACCACACCCGGCTAATTTTTTTGTATTTTTTAGTAGACCCGGGTTTCACCGTGTTAGCCAGGATGGTCTCGATCTCCTGACCTCGTGATCCACCCGCCTCGGCCTCCCAAAGTGCTGGGATTACAGGCATGAGGCACTGCGCCCAGCCCTGACTTACGTTTTAAAACGATCACTCTAGCTATTATATTGGGAAGAGGCAAGCATGAGAACAGGGAGAGCTTTTAGAAGATGAATCCAAAGATGAGATGATGGTGGCTCAGACCAGGGAGTAGCAGTGGAGGTGGTTAGGGATGCTCTGTGGATTAGACATGCGTGTGAGAAAACGAGGGGAATCCAGAATTGCTGGACAGCACTAAGGATTTACTTGAGGTTCATGGTGATGAAATTAAAGTGAAACTACTCAGGGTTTTTGGTCTGAACAACTTGCACAATAGAGTTATCAAATGAGATCGGAAAGCTAGTGGGCTCAACAGGTTTGAGGGAGAATATTGTTCAGTTTGTGATGTGTTTGAGGATATCAGAATCTGGAGTTCAGGTAAGGTCTGAGCTGAAGATATAAATTTAGGAGTTGTCATCATATATGATGATATCATATATCTTAGATAGTATTGAAAGTCAGGAGACTGGATGAGATCAAGGAAGTGTATATAGATTAAAAAGAGTTCAAGGGGCCAGGCACAGTGGCTCACGCCTGTAATCCCAGCCCTCTAGGAGGCTGACGCAGGCAGATCACCTGAGGTCAGGAGTTCAAGACCAGCGTGGCCAACAAGGCCAAACCCTGTCTCTACTAAAAATACAAAAATTAGCCGGGTGTGGTGGCGGGTGCCTGTGATCCCAGTTACTTGGGAGGCTGAAGCAGGGAGAATTGCTTGAATCTGGGAGACAGAGGTTGCAGTGAGCTGCGATCATGCCACTGCACTACAGCCTGGGTGACAGAGAGAGACTCTGTTTCAAAAAAAAAAAAAAAAAAAGAAAAAGAGTTCAAGGAATGAGCCCCAGTTAAGGGGTTTGAGAGAAGAGATGGAATCCAGCAAAGATGACAGGGAAGGAGGAACCATGAATGAAGGAGAAAAACCAAGAGGATGTGGTTAAAAAAAAGAGAATCAAGTGATTAGCTGTGTCAGCTGTTACAGATAAGTCAATCAAGATGAGAACTGAGACTAGATCATTGGGTTTAGCCAGCGTGAAGTTCTTTGTTGGCCTTCGCAAGAGTAGTTTTGATAGTGTGGTAAGGATGAAAGCATGAATGGAGTTTTAGAGAGGATGGGAGACCTAACACTCAGCTGATGACCTAAAATACGCCACATGTGTACCTCACATGTAATGATTCTACTACGTATGTATGGAGTCTTAACATACATATCATGCTTGACATGTTTTTGAACTTTATATAAATGGTATTGTATGGGATGTATTCTGTTGTTGTAGAATGGGAGAAGAACTGCAGATAAAGTATAGAAAACTCTTTTAGAAGTTTTCTTGTAAAGGGAGTAGAGAAATGGGTGATAGCTGACAGTAGAAATAGGTCCAAGAGAAAAATCTGTGGGATTGGAAAAATCACAGCTGCCGGTAAACTTACCAGAATGACACAGTAGAGAAATATTGATAATACAGAATAGGGGGATAATTGCTGGAGTGACAGTGAGGATACTGATTAGGCAAGATAGGACTGGAATCTATGTGTTGGTGACAATGCTCCTTTAGCTAGGAGCATGCAATTCAACCATGTGAGGGTGGGGAAGGCAAAGTAGAGGCTGGCATGTGGGTGTGGGTGATGCTGAGATTCTGTGGAATTTTTTCTCTTATTGCTTCAATTTTCTCAAACAAGGCTGTTAATTGAGAATGATGGAGGGGAGGATGTGCAACTCAGAGGACAGAGAAAGTACAAACTCCAGAAGAACGGAGGAGGGAAGGAGAATTGCTGGACAGCACTAAGGGGTGGGCCTGAGGTTCCTGGTGATGAAATTAAAGTGAAAGTAGTCAGTGTGATTGCGTTCTTCTTTCGCCACATTCAGGGTGCTAGCTTGAATCAGGGTTGTGGCTTTACCAGGCAAGCACAACAAAGGGAGAGAAAGGCAAGGGGGCTGAGGGCATGTGTAAGAGTGATTGTGATTGGCCAGGGGTTGAGGCTGGGTGAGAGCAGATATGAGGGGTTAAAGAATTGTCGCAGTTAGAGTACTACAGGGAGTGACCTGGAAAACCGAGGTGGTGATCAGGGTATGAGATGTTTGAAACTGAGATAATGAAGAAGTTGCAGAGTTCGATAAGGCTACTGTGATTATGACCATGGGAGGAAGTGGCTTAGTTAGGGTATGTGCAAGTTAGAAGTTAGAGAAGGTACAAAATCCAGAATGATCAAGGGGAGGATGTGTAAGTTAGAGGACAGAGAAGGTACAAAATCCAGAAGAGTGGAGCAGAGAAGTGTAAGAGAATTGCTGGACAGCACTAACGGTCTACCTGAAGTTAATGGTGAACAGTGGGGGTCTCCACCCAACAGCCAGCAAGGGACTGAGGCCATCAGTCCTGAGGCCTGCAAGGAACTGAATGCTGCCAACAACCACATGAGCTTGGAAGCAGATCCTCGTCCCAGCCTCACGTTGTAGAGGACCCAGCCAAGTGATGCCTGGACTCTTGACCCAGAGAAACTGTAAGATCATAAAATTGAAGCAATGAGAGAAAATCCTTGAAGAATAAAAGGAACTGAGAGGCCAGAGTACTGGGAAGATCTTATAACCACCTAGCACTAGGATAGAAGTGGCATTGGAGTGACTGACAGGAGCAAATTGTGCAGAGATGAAGTGGGGTAAGGTCAGCGATAGAGGTATTGGATAGCAAGATTCAAAGTTGCTGGTTTGGAGGAGGAGGGGGACGGCCTGGAAGCAATGTTGAGAAGCAAGAAGGAAACCCACCTCACCTCCAGGCACTAAGAGGCTGAAGGTTGAAAACACCGTTGCCACTACTTGATAGGTGGAAGAAAGAGCAGTGTCCCAGGGCAAAGTTGGGTTTCCCTTAAGTAAAAAGGTGAAGGGAACCTGAAGGGAAATTCTGAGAAGAGGTTGAGCTTATAGGGAATATCATTTGCATAAATAAATAGATGGTGTGGTAGATTCTAAACAGGCCCCAAATGATCCCTGCCTCCTAGTGTTCAAGCTTTTGTGTTTCCTTCCCCTTCAGTGTAGGTGGCGCCTGTGATTTGCTTCTGGCCAGCAATGTATGGCAAAGGTGACAGAGTATGAGTGACACTGTGTATGTGATGATGTTACATAAGATTGAAACCAGTGTCTTGCTGAGACTCTCCCCGTTGCTGGCTTTGAAGAAGCAAGCTGCCATATTGTTAGCTTCCCTATGGAGAGGACCACATGGCAACGAACAGAGGGGGTCTCCAGCCAACAGCCTGCAAGGGACGGAGGCCCTCAGTCCTCCAGCATGCAAGGAACTGAATGGTGCCAACAACCACATGAGCTTGGAAGCAGATCCTTTGTTCTAGCCTCACTTTGTAGAGGACCCAGCTGAGCCATGCCTGGACTCCTGACCCAGAGAAACTGTAATATCATGAATGTTTGTTGTTTCAAGCTTCTATATTTGTGGTGATACTGTTATACAGCAATAGGTAACTAATACAGACGGAATGGAAGAAGTTTAGTTATAACTATGTGTCAATTTTTAAAAAACTTCTTCTGAGGTATATTACCTAAGAATCACATATTGATCTATTACCAAATCATGTTTTGTAATCTATCAGCTGACAGATCTTCCTTCAGTTTCGTTGACAGAAAAGATCTGAAAACTGTCTGACTTGAAAAATAATTTAATATCCATTCACTAAAGTCATTTACTTTCTCAGCATAGACACCTATTTTTGAATTGTCCCTTTTGGACTGCTGGGGAAGTACTGCATTGATCCAATGCACATTAGTAATGGGTGAGAATTTTGACTTTCTTTTGTAAGGTGGGAGGACAGTTTTGAAAGGGGATGCTGTGTCCTCAGCTCCTTTCTTAAGCTGGGCAATTTTCGAAAATAGAACATACAGCAGTGGAAGATGTGGAAATGAATTCCCTTAAAACTGGTCTTCATAAATCCCAGGAGTAAGAGAACACCAGTTTGGAGCTTAAGGGGCTTTCTGGTAAAAGAGGGAATGGCCCAGGCAGTGATGTGGAGGATGGAATGAAGCACTGAGTATGAGTGATGAAGGCGTGCGGTGGGTGTAGAGTGTTTCTGGGCGACGTGACTTAAGAAATGACTTCAGAACTGGCTAATCATTAGTTTTGGAGGGACTAAAAGTAGTTCCAAAGTAGTTCCTGGTTGGTGAATATAAATCATTAATGTGTCTTAAATGAAAAAGAAATGCATGCGTCTTGTAAAAAATATGAAATAAAAGAAGCATAAAGTCAAAAGCAGAGCCTGTGCCTTCCCCCACCAAACAGGTAACCTAGTTAACTGGTGTGTCGTAGGATTCGAAGTTCCCCTCCCGCAGAGAGTGCGCCTACATCGCTTCCAACAAAATCCACTCACACTTGCAACGCCTGGCAAGGCTCTTCAATATGTGATTCCTTGACTGTTCTGTGCGTCTCTCGAGTTCAAACACCTCTGGGGCTCGTGATTTGGGGCTGCCAGACAGGGAAGGAAGGTGCGGCCAGCGTCTGTTTCTTCCCTAAGTGAACTCCTACAACCTAGCCACCTTCTCCCCAGAGCTGTCGACCGGTGGTTGAAGGCCAATTTTTGTGCCTACGCAGGTCCTCCACACAGAACAAAACAAATACACAACAAAAGCCGGGCTAATAGCTATTTATAAACACTTACTGGACGCCCACTCTACGCCGAGCTCTCCCGCGCTCCTTGGGAACTTTTTTGCCAAGAGATGCCAATTTTCCCGGCGACCACTCCCTCAAGCGGGCCTTCGCCTCTGCCCGCGCGGAGGCCCAGGCCCAGGCCGGGATTCAGAGCCGCCCCTCGGCTGGCGCTGCCCTGCAGGCGCCTGCGCAGAGCGACTCTCGCCGTCACTTGGGGCGGGAGGCGGCGACAGCCGGGAGAAAGGAAAGCTGTGGGGGAAAAGGGCCAAACCCTGAAATTACCCGGATGTGGTCCCCGCGCGCGCATGCTCAGTGTGTTCTCGACAAGTTGGCAGCAACAACACGGCCCTGGTCGTCGTCGCTGCTGCGGTAACGGAGCGGCTCGGGTGGCGGAGCCTGCGTTCGCGCCCTCCTGCTCTCCTCGGGAGGCCCTTCCCGCCCTCCCCTCGGCTCCGCGGCCGCCCAGGGGGTGGGAGCGGGTGAGGGGAGCCAGGCGCCCAGCGAGAGAGGCCCCCCGCCGCGGGGCGGCCCGGGAGCTCGAGGCGGTCCGGCCCGCGCGGGCAGCGGCGCGGCACTGAGGAGGGGCGGCCTGGCCGGGACGCCTCGGGGCGGGGGCCGAGGAGCTCTCCGGGCCGCCGGGGAAAGCGACGGGCCCGGCGCGTCCGCGGACCAGCAGCGGCGGGAGAGCGGACTCCCCTCGCCACCGCCCGATCCCAGGTAACCGCGCCATGTCCCCTCCCCTTCCCCCGGCCGAGCCCGCGCACCCCGCCCGCGGCTTCCCCGCCCCGGGGCGGGCTCCCGACTGCTGCGGCGGCGGCGGCGGCGGCGGGGAGCGCGCGGAATCCGCTGGGAGGGCGACCGCGGCCGCCTGACGAGCCGGGCCGGGCGGCGGTGCCTTGCCTCCGTCCGGCCCCCAGCTTCGCTTGCAGCTCGTGGGAGAATCAAGTTAAAGTCAGACGGGACTCCTGCCGCGGCCGCTGCTCCTCTTTGTTGTTCTCGAGTAGTTTCACGGTCGCCCCGGCTGAGCGCGTTGGGTCGGCTGGAATGTGTTGCCTTAGGGTCTAAATGAAAGTTGTAAATTGTTTGTCTTAATTTATTTTCTCCAGCCAATTTCGGTTTTCTCTTTGTCCCCTACTTTCTCTTCCTAGTCTTGTCATGCCAGTTTACGCTTTTGGCTTTGATATGTTTACTTTTTGAGTATTGAGAGTGACGGCGGTATGCAGGACACATTCTTAGCACCTAACTGAACCCCTCCTTGCCCCCAATAAAACATGCTTCCTATTAAAAGACATAGTTGATCTTACTGTTAGCACTACATGTACTGAGAGTGAAATTGGTGTAGGGTGGAGGGCGGTGGCTCCATCACTTGTCCCAAACTGCTGTTAGGATTTCTCAAACTAGATTTTCAAAGGGACAAGTGTGTAGTTAACGTGAAAAGTTTATTTGCTGGTGCAGAGGCTTTAAAAAGCCCTATTGAAGATTGATAGCTGTTTCCCCTCAAAAACCTAAGTACGTTTGTTTTTATTTTAAAAAAACATTTTATTATGCATTATAATTTGGAAACTATTATTTCCGAATTAGTTTCTTAATGCATTTAGTTTTTGCACCGTAGTTTAAGATGGAATTGCCAGTTATTTAGGAATAATAAATACAACAAGATAATAGGGGAATTATCCTGAAATTGCCTTCTGCAAACATATGGTCTCAGCTAATTTTTGTTAATAACCTTTGACTTTTGCCAGAATTAGCATCCTTTTAGTCTTAGTAGCAGCTTGGTTACTCGGGTGTTTAAGAAGTAGGTTCACTACTTTTTGCTGGCAAAAACCATTTAGTCTCTAAAAAAAAAAAAAAAAAAATGAAATGCATAATTTCGTAATTAGGTTTAGAACATGGCATTTGAATAATTTTTATGATGGATTTCATAAATTGCTTTTGCCATACCCTGCGGAGACTAAATATATACATTTCAGTTGAAATATAGGAAGTTCTAAAATGTACGTTTTTTTTTTGATGCTGAGGACTTTATATTGGAAAGTTCTGATATGATTAATACACACTATTCCAAACTGTAAAATGATTAACATTTAAAAATACAGTTTTTTAAATTAGTGTTTCTTCCATAATGCTGTCATGATTTTGTTTACTTAAATGGGTTTGTTACAGAAAAATGTAATAGAGATAGATAGGCCAAGCATTTATAATTTGGAGTAGCTTTAGATCTAAAGATAGTGGTGAATTATGTAGGTTTTAAGTTGTTGGAATTAAAACTAAAAGCTTTAGATAAAAATTGTTGTAACATTTTGTGACTATTAATAGAAGTGGCTTTTTCTTTGCTTTCCAGGTTTTTGGGTGAGTTTTAAAGAATTATTGCATCTTAGTTTTTTTATTTTTGAGGTGAGAGTGTATGTCTATTTAGGTAACTGCCTTCAGTGTAAATCTTGAGTTTAGAAAAAACCAAACTGCAAATGTTTTTCAGTCTTAATGAAAATTTGTACTGAGAAAGTCACTTTGAAATATTTTGGAGTAAGTTGGCTGGGCGGGGTGGCTCACGCCTGTAATCACAGCACTTTGGGAGGCCGAGGTTGGCGGATCACGAGGTCAGGAGATCGAGACCATACTGGCTAACACGGCGAAATTCCGTCTCTACTAAAAATGCAAAAAATTAGTCGGGCCTGGTGGCGGGCGCCTGTGGTCCCAGCCGCTTGAGAGGCAGAGGCAGGAGAATGGCGTGAACCCGGGAGGCGGAGCTTACAGAGAGCAGAGGTCGCGCCACTGCACTCCAGCCCTGGCGACAGAGTGAGACTCCGTTTCAAAAAAAAAAAAAAAAAATTGGAATAAGTTTTACCTGAATGATTTTTAAAAGCCTGTGCTTCACTTTCTTAAGCTACATTTTAGTCGAGTGATTGTGTGTGAATTCTTTTTCTGTATTCCTCTTCAGTTTTTCTTTCCCCCCCAAATTAAGGAGCAAAAATTAACCTAATTTACGCTGCCCAGTTACACTCCAGCTCTCTCACTTGGAAGCAGTTTTTTTCTGATTGAGCCAGTATTATAGTAACATCATTAGGCACTATTCTAATTGAGGTGTGAATTACTGAGGCCTCTACTAGGGAGGTTAACCCTACAGAATCTGCAGGGTTCATTATATTTAAATTGCATATTTAGGCTTGTCTAAATTTTTGCCTATTTTGGTGAAAACATGTTGTTCTGCCGATGTTTAAACTTGGTTCATTTTATCCCTCTCTAGTTCATGACTAACCATTTTTTTCATTTTTAATTCAGTGATTTTTTTTTTAGAGTGACTGGTTCTTTAAGCATCTTGTATTAGCCATTTCAATGCTCATTATGTATGTTTGGATTTCTCTTATTTTGTTGGTCTAGAAGACAGTGTAGTTATGCCAAAAAAATTTTTTTTTCTTAAAGCGATGATGAATGGTGACTCCGAGTTGACCATTTATCGTGTATAAAAGTAACCTAAAATGTTTCATTGTTTTCTACAGTTAAAAGACTTAGACCAGCATAACACAGCATTTTTTTGTTTTTCTTTGACATGGAGGCTTGCTCTGTTGTCCAGGCTGGAGTGCAGAGGCATGATCTCCCCTCACTGCAAACCTCGCCTCCCAGGTTCAAGCGATTCTCCTGCATCAGCCTCCCGAGTAGCTGGGATTACAGGCATGTGCCACCACACCTGGCTAATTTTTGTATTTTTAGTAGAGATGAGGTTTCGCCATGTTGGCCAGGCTGGTCTTGAACAACTGACCTCAGGTGATCCGCCCGCCGTGGCCCCCCAAAGTGCTAGGATTACAGGCGTGAGCCACTGTGCCTGTCCTATAATACAGCATTTAATACAGTTTTGTAAAATTATCACATTTTGTAAAATCACATATGCCAAGCACATGCTTGATCGTAAGTCAGATTTAGAATTTTTGGATTTTGTTTTCTCTTTCTAAAATGTGTAATTTTGGTAATGGGAAATTTGACTGAATTCCAGTTTCTCAGGAACAAGGTATTTTAGGTTGTGTCACCTTGACACTATTGCATGGTATAATTGGCATCCTGGAATATTTGTGTTTATGAGAGTGAATGAAAACTAGGGTAGTGCTTACATACGTAAAACTAAGATCATGCATAGTCGGATTCTTACAGTTTACAAGGTTCTTATAATCTAAGCCTTGATAAGTTGCTACTGCAAATTATATCATAGATCAGATAAGTACCAAAGACCAATTGTAAAGAGGGTCTGTTAACATTTTAATCAGTTTATAATTGGTGGTAACAGTAAAGACCATTCGGCTCAAAGAATGTATTTCATTATTTATATTTCAAATGAGAATTTTTTGCAGTTTGGAAAACTTGTAAATGTGTTGAATTCATCTTTTTATTGCTTTTTTACTCCCAACGTTTAGGGCAATGGTCTTCTCTTCTCTCCTGTCTTTCTTTCTCTCTCCCTTTCTCCCTCCCTCCCTCCCTCCCTTTTTCTTCTTTTCTTTTCTTTGTTTTTTTTTTTTTTTTTTTTTTTTCCTGAGACGGAGTTTCGCTCTTGTCGCCCAGGCTGGAGTGCAGTGCAATGGTGCGATTTTGGCTCACTGCAACCTCCACCTCTTGGGTTCAAGCTATTCTCCTGCTTCAGCCTCCCGAGTAGCTGAGATTACAGGTGTGCGCCACCATGCCAAGCTAATTTTTTTGTATTATTAGTAGAGGATGGGGTTTCACCATTTTGGCCAGGCTAGTCTTGAACTCCTGACCTCAGGTGATCCACCTGCCTCAGCCTCCCAAAGTGCTGGGATTATAGGCATGAGCCACTGCGCCCAGCCTTCCTTTTTTTTCCTTTTTCTTTCCATCTTGCTCAGTGCCCCAGCCTGGAGTGCAGTGCTGCAGTCATAGCTCACTGCTGCCTCTACCTCCCAGGTTCAAGCAATCCCACCTCAGCTGCCCCAGTAGCTGGGTCTACAGGCACACACCATCACACCTGTCTAATTTTTTGAAAATTTTTTGTAGAGACAGGGTCTCCCTCTGTTGCCCAGGCTGGTCTTGAACTCTTGGGTTCAAGTGATCCTCCCACCTCAGCCTTCCAAAGTGCTGGCATTACAAGCATGAGCCACCATGCCTGGCAAGTAGTTTTCAATCTTGGCTGTACTTTTAGATCCCTTGAGGAGCTTTACAAAATACTGATGCCTGAATTCTAGCCCCGGAAATTATGATTTGGTTGGTCTGGGGTGCAGCCAGGTTAGCCCTCCACAGTGATTGAGCCGTTAGGGTCCTCTGACTTTTTCTTTTGAGCTGTTTCACTTGTGTTAGCTTTACATTCTTTAATGCAGTGATATACGCATGTACAGTGTAGTCATCTCATACATCTATGTTAACATGTCTTTTGAAAGTATTGCCACATTTGCTTTGCTTCTGTGTCTGTCTCTTTTCTTTCTTTCTTTCTCTCTCCCTTCCTGTCACCTATTCCTTTCTCCTCTGTTTCTTTCTTCGCATTCAGTTTATTTGAACTGTCTGATAGTAAGTTTTAGGAAGCTGTATTTCCCATGATGAGAAGTTAATATATCATCACTATTTTAAATAGGAAGTTGGTCTTCTTTTAAAGTATATTCTCAAATGCTTACTTGTACTCCTTTTGGAGACTAATTACTTTAAGTCCCCAAGTTAGCATCTAAACTCCCTGTGGACTTGGTCTAGTGGCTCACATCTATAATCTCAACGCTTCTGGAGGCTGAGGCAGGAGGATCA